GGAGTTACACCCTTTATATAGGGAGTATAGATCTCCTAAATCCCTTAATTATGTCAATTACGGATTACACAATATTTTTTCTAACATAATTAGGAGATTGCATAATCTCTAAAATATTCTGAGATCGTATACCTGACATAACTAAATGATTACATAATATTTACATGATTACAAAAGATTTACACAATATTATGAAAATCTTAACACTCCCCCTCAAGTTGGTGCGTAGATGTCACACATGCTCAACTTGTCTAACACTTGTGAGAAAATACGTTTGGAGACAACCTTAGTAAGAATATCGGCCAATTGATCCTCTGATCGAATCTTGGGCAGTTCAATAATCTTTTCATCCAGTTTTTCTTTGATGAAAAATCTATCTACTTCAACGTGCTTCATATGATCATGTTGAACTGGATTTTGAGCAATGTCACATGCTGCTTTGTTATCACAATATAACTGGATTAGTTGATTAGGTTGATAACCCAAATCTTGTAGTAGAAATCTTAGCCACAAAGCTTCACAAATCCCAAGTGTCATTCCCATAAATTCTACTTCAGCGCTTGAGTATGCCACAACATTCTGTTTCTTGCTTCTCTAAGTGACTAGATTACCTCCTACAAAAGTAAAATAACCAGAAGTAGATCGTCTGTCATCAACTGCTCTAGCCCAATTAACATCAATATATGCATGCACGTTTTGGTAGTCCCTATTTTTAGAAAATAAGATTCCCTTCCTAGGAGCATGTTTTAAATATCTCAAGATATGCATAACTGCGTTCAAGGTTTGCATATGATGTTTACCTTACCTTGTCTCAGACAATCAATTGTTTTGTATTTTGAAGTTAGCATATGATGTTTACAATAATTATTTCATACAAAACATCAAGATCGCATTAAGTGGAATGAATGAAACTAGAAATATATTGAATCAATAGAACAATAAAATTAATCAAAGCATAAAACATTCATGTTAGGTTATATCGGATCCCTAGAAAAGAAATTAGTTACACATGATTATAAGGAAATCAAACCTCAAACCCTTCAAAAACATGAAGTACAAGAGAAAAAGATGAAACCCTTGGTAGATCTTCTCCTTGCCTCCAATTCTTTCCAAGTTGAAGTCTCTTCTCCTTGCCTTTCTCAAAGTTTTTTTTTTCTCCCCCCAAAAAAAATACCTAAAGACATTCTTTTATAGTGCTAGGGTTGTGGGAAAGTAATGGGAAAAACCCTATACAAAATAGGAGAATAAAATTCAGATTAATCTTAAGTAGAATCCTTGTAGAATTAGGATTCCCGTGCTGACCCTTAGGTACTAAAATATGAATATATTCCTCTAGAAATCTCGGAATAACAAACCATAAGATTCTCTGTAAACCAGACTTCCAAAGCTTTACAACAATATGTGTAACAACTCCAAGTTCATGCTGAGGAATTTATGGTAGCTTGGCGAAGTTTCCGTTTTCTGTCTGTTTCTCCTTAACAACCGTTGCTGGAAAATTGTGCGCCGAAAGACTTCCATTTTTTAGTATGAAAAATTCTGAATCTGATGAATCCATAGACACATTAACTGTATCTATTTGAATCATGTTTCTAGTGGTTCAAGAATCATCCAAATCTAAGGTCTTCAGCTCAAGTTATCATTGCAACACTGAGGATGTTCCAGAACCCGCGTCTGCTTGTCTTCTATGCACTGATGTAACTTTTGGATCAATTTTTAGCCATCTTACATATTTAACTTGATCACGATCAAACATAAAATTTATAGATATATCTCTTATATTTCAAACGCCACTGGAATCAGGTCAATCGGAGTTTTGTAGATAAAGTTACACCCATTTTAGTGTAGCATGTTCACTCACGCCACGGCACAAAAATCCTCCGCCGCGAACAATCTTCAAAAATCCGTAACTTTTTCGTTTGAGCTTTGATTCTTAAACTGTTTGTTCTTAGATGATTCTGATTCTTTCCTCTTTAATGCCCATGCTAGAAATCCTCATCTTCAACACCTAAATACTTGAAAATTTACAAAACATACACGTGATTCTAGAAAACAAAAGAGATATAGATATTAAGTCAAATTAACCAATTAAATCTAATTATCTCACAAAATACCCTTAAAATCACTAAGTATGAGTGCGCTTCCAAGCACTCATCAATATCATTTGGGATATGGAATTTAGAATAATTCATTAAAAGGAATTTTACTTAAGTGTAATGAAAAATATTAAAAGGGAAATTCATTAAATTTTAAGTAAAACTAATTATGTTATCAATCGTGTGGTTTATTAGGCTCGGTTGTACGTGTAACAAACGTACAAATTTCATGTAATAAAAATAGTTTATTAATTTTCACCAAAAGCCAATTATTGATCTATACATTATATTATATAATGTTTTACAAAAAAAAAAATTAGGGAGAACCACTGGACGTGTTAGAATGCAACATAACTACTGGTGACAAGAAAACAAACTAAATCAAAGTTTCTTAATTTTTATGTTTGCAATTTATCAATCAGAAAGGTTTAAACAATCATTTTGTATATTCGAAATCTATATCACAATAGTCAACATAATACAATATTATCATTACGTATTTAATTTATACATCATTTTAATTACATTTGTAATACTCAACAGTATTTATGTTTAATACGTATATATTCTATTAAACATTATTATCATTACGTATTTAATTTATTGTATGTTATTCATTTATTATTAAAAAAAAACCATATAAGTATGCTTTGTGGTTGCCGCCATTAAGCCGAATCTTCCACATAAAAAAGTAGGGCTAGTTTATATGTCAATTGGCATTACAATTTATTTATTTTATATTTCTAACAATTATTGTTTATTTATTCAAATTATATTATTGTTGTAATATTATTCACTGTATTTTTTTATTTATTTTAAATTATTGTATTAGTGTTATTTATTATTTTGTTTGCTAGTTTGCAAAAATATGACAATATCCAAACTTGAAGTTTCAGAATCAATCCTAAAACAGAACTTGAACTGCTGAGAAAATTATTTATCTTAACATAACCTAAGATATTTATTTTACTCTAACAAAACCTGAAGTTATGATATAATTTAATGTACATTAACACAACCTAAAGTTATGATAAAATTTAATTTATATTAACAGAACCTTAAGGTTTGATACACTTATTTTATATCTCTCACAAATGTAATGTAACAACTCACAATTAGTTAGCTCGTATTTAGTCAAGCAAGATCAATTGTTTGACAGACAAGACCCATTGTAAGAGAAAATGAGAAGGGCTGTAGTATTTCCCATTTTACATTAATAGAATTTAAAGTTATTTTTGTGAGCATAATGTCTAATGTAAACTTTTATTTATACGAACGAAAGGACATGTGTTTGACAGATTTTGCAACAACACACACTATTCTGAAAGAAAAGAAAATTTTCTCAACTTTACTATTAATTAAAGCAAACTTCTAGAGAATCAAAATTTCGTGCCCCTAATCTAAATTTCATTTGCCTCATTCATCTTGAATCGTTTAAGGAGGATTATTTAACAATCTGAGTAAATAGTTCAACTCTCCCATCATGTTCATCTTAAACTCTCTTTACATCATATTAAATATTTTTTTTTTTTTTTTTTTTAGCATATTAATCAAGCATATAGAAAATTATGCATAGTTGCATCACATGTGTTTTCTTTTTTATAAAACAACACGGTTAAGATTAACTGCATAATTGTATAAATTACAACACGTTTAAGATTAATTGCAAAATTCTACAAATTACAGCACGATTAACTACAAAATATGTACAAATTACAACACGGTTAAGATTAACAGCAAAATTGTATAAATTACAACAGGGTTAAAATTAACTGTAAAATTGTACAAATTACAATACAGTTAAAATTAACTGTAAAATTGTACAAATTTAGGGTTACTATATAGCTCAAAGCCTCTCATCTTTCCAGTCAAATTCAGCTAAAGTGGCAGTCAATGAGGAGTGGGCAATTAATGAACCAATGGAGTTGTTTTACAAGTGTCAAATGTCAGCCAATTTGTGACAAGCATGGCTCATTATTGAAGGAAAGAAAGAAGCCCACTTCCATGTACAGTATTTTGCAAAGAAATATAACAAATTAGATGAAATTTTAAAACAGTTTGTAAACAACTTTATGTAATAACGGAAACCAATTATATTCAGCCATAAAAATTGTTAAATATATTTAGGTAATATTATGAGTTTACATTTCGATGAATGTGAAAGGACTAACACCAGTCTTTATATCTTTATAACCAGAAATAAAAATGTGCTGTTTTGCAAAAGATAGGATTGAAACATGATTTTTGGCCTACCCTGTTAGAAATCTTTTTACAACTTTGTGCTCTACCCTGCAATGGAAAGTAAGCGAGGGGGAGTTACTTGTCCATCTCTCATGGAGTTATGCATATATAAAATATGTGAGGTACTTGTTGCATTCCCTGGGTGTGTTTGGTTGAGGATTTCTCTTTGCTTGTACTTTTCTCACATGTTTCAACCTTAAAAGGATATTGACAAATATAGTTCATTCTCAAGAGATATAAGCCAACAAATCTTCAATGAATTGATATTTTCTGATGGACTTACTGGTGCTTCTGTGGAAGCTTTCCGAGATTGTGCTCTACAGGTAAGACTTTGTGAGTGGTTTGAGCATTGAAGTACTGATTATAATTAAGCTTCTCTACTTTGTTTAGTTCTTGATGGAGGCTTTCAGTTATAAAGTATCCGTGTTATGTTGGAAGGTTGTTTTTTTGGGTGAATATCCTGGAGTGAAGGATAGTTGGATGGATGTTATTGTCGATAAGGATAATGCTAATTTATGCATACAGAAATTTAAACCACTAACAACTTCAACAGTGACAGGAGATGAGCGTAATTGACTAAAACTCGAAGAAAAATTCAGCAAACTAAAACTAACAGAGAAAATACATCACAAAGAGAACAAACTTATGGAGTTTCATACCGGGCCTGCACTTCACGTTCAAAGGCATCAGTTTTAGATCCCAGTTTCATACAAGCCATAATTTTTTTCACAATGCAAGCTGAAAAATTGTTGACAACTGAGCTTCAAATAAAGAGCTGAGCAAAAGAAGAACCCCCCAAAACAGCCTCTTAAATCCCTGTCTCAAACTAAAACACCAAAACCAAGCCAAAAAACCCACACCCCCAGTTAATTAGTACCTTCAAAGCACCACTCTCAAGCCAAATCACCCACAAAAACCTCTGAAAACCAACCCAAATTCCTCAAACCAAATTAAAAATTTTCAAAATGTAGCTTCTTCAGTGACTAAACTGACCAATCTGCACCAAAAACCTTCCCCCAGAATCTACCAGTAGCTTCAAAAAGTTAATATCTTTCACAAACCCACCTCTGATCCCATGAAATTAAACCCTAAAACCACTCCAAATAAGACATACCCACTTCAAAAAAAAGCACTCAAACAACCAAATCTCAGTCCAAAACCACCTAATTTCCAAATTAGCTCAGATTTCAGGCTGCTCCACGCCAACTCTCAACCTCACCAAGAAGAATCTTTTAACTGAAACTTAAAAAGAACCTAAAAGGTCAAAACCATTCATACCCATTAAAATAGAAGCAACTAAGCCACTGAAATGGCCCTAAGATTCAATATATAATCAATTCCAGGATTCCCCATGGGATAATAATTAGGAAAAAGAAAGGCAGAGAAGTTGAAGAACTCAAGAAGGGCAATTAATGGGAGGTCTGAAACCAAGTCTCACACATGCATAAAAGTGGGACCATTTGGCTTGAAACACACTCATTGGTTTTCTTGAACTGGCGCATAATCCCATTTGGGAGCAAACCTTCTTAGATCTTGCCAGACAGATAAAGTAGGAATGCAAAGTAAGGGCAACATGTGAATAAACATATCAGCCAGCATCCCCTATAAAAAAAGAAGTTCTGAACAAAATTTGATCAATTACTTACCTCAGCTAGAAGTAGATCCAAAAGCTTTTGTCCATATTGTTCAACAACTGCCTTGCATTCTTGGCTAACAACTCCAAAGGCTCCAATGGCATGATTTATCATTGTAATCACAATCTGCAAATATCAAGAGAGAAGCTGACAGTGAATTCCATTTAGTGACCACCAATGATGCAATGCAGAGTCAACATCACAGAACTCATTAAATCATTTTTTATGTTCAAACATTTGAGAAAAATGCTTTTCTACAAGAGTAGAAGACATGACAAGCTTGGTGCCAATCATCAATGGAGGATAAAGAATCATGTATGACCTAGACATTTAAGGCTAACATATTCATGATTGTATTCAATCCTTTTATGAAGAGAAAAAGCAGTAAACATGCCAGGGAAATCAAAATAGTTTTCTTTCTTAATTTATCCTATCTGTAATTTGATAAATCTCACAGTTCCACATAATGAACTCCATACATCTAAAATAGTTTTGTGACTTACAGCACAACCAAAATCCAGGCGAAAATGCGCAGGACATTGAGCAAACCATATCCCGATAGGAGATTGGTGAACAAAAATCCTACCGACAAAAATGAATCATATTTTTCATACTGTAGGGCCTGCCAACAATGATGTCCCAGAGTCTGCAATTGCTGAGCAACCACCAGCACAATATCCTGGAAAAAACAGTATGTGGAACAGTGGAAGTCTGAGTANCACATTTCAAAAATTAAACAAACCAAAGCAAAAGATTAAGACTGATTTTTTAATACTTTTGTAAAGCGAAATGACCTGGAGATGGAATGGAGTTATTGGCGCAAACAGTTGCGCAAGAATGAATGAATTGAATTGGATTAAAAAGCTTGTTCCACCTTTTGGGTCACTGAGATTTGTGTATTCACGAACTTCTCTTCCTGCCATCTTCAGTCTACACTCCTAATAATCGAAACAACTCAGAAAATGTAAGAATACGGTTTTAAACTTAAAAAACTAAATAAAAAATCTGATTCATATTCATTTAGTCGACCACCTGATCAACAGCCAAAGTTGAGGTTTGGCCCAAGAACTAAAAGACTTAACAGTACACAAAAATAAATAAATCAATACACACCGACTGACATCCACTGAGGAGGCCGAATTGTGCATTTGTTAATTAACAGAAACAAATTGAAGAGAAGCAAATTTCGAAAAGACTTACAGGAATGAAGGCACTCGGTGATGGATCAATGAAACGAAACCCAGATTAGAAGAAACTCAAAGAAGCCGAACGTAGATCCTCGGTATACCCAATCATAAGCTGTTACTTGAGGTAAGGAGCTCACCAGCAAGTGCCGGAAGTTGCCTAGGTGAAGACGGAGGTCTGATAGTAAGAGCCTGGAAGTTGCCATTAGTGGAGAGAGATGAGATATCTGGTAATGAAGCAGTGGATACGTTTAAGAAACGCTTGGGTTGATATAAACATTTGTAATTCCAATACCGCCATTAATATCATGTTAAACTACGTACCCGGTTCATTTTTGTAGAGCCAATCCAATGCATTAATATCTCATTATATCATCATTTTATGTCGCATTAATATCTTATTAAATGACCATTGTAAGTGTCACTCAACCAAGGTTTGCCCGAAGATCTTACGTGGCGAGCAATATCTTACTGGAATTCAAACGGCCATCAATAGATAACTAGACATAGGGCTCCCACATTGTGTGGGTATATTGATTCAATGCTTTTGAAATAAATGATAAACAAATTTATTATAATAAAATAAACTAATTAGATTAAGACATAATAATTGTTAAATTATACAAATTTAAAAAATCTAATATTGAAAATAATCTAATTAGTGGTAAAAAGTTGTTGTAATGTTTTCAAGTTTATTTACTCTGAAAACGTCATTTGCTCACAAATGATGTGTTACATGGGTATGTTTATTTTTTTTTTTTTTTTACATTATTATTGGTTTTTTTGTTTTTTAAATATATATATTCTGTATTGAAATTCATTTTATATTGAATTGATAATTAAAAAATCAATAAATAAAATATCCACAAATTTAACTCAAAGTCTATATCATCATGATTCTTCTCAAATATGTCACCATTTGACATCTGCAACCAAAGTTTAAAACTTTGTCAAGAAAAGCAAAAAGAATTGCAAGATAACCCACTGGGTATTATTGATAAGTCTATAAATCAATCAGAAAAAAGAGAAATCTTGCTAAAAAATGTGAACTTTTAAGCAAGAGACTTGCAGAGCCTATAATACTCTCTCTAGCTAGTAATTCTTGAGAGGTATATGATAAAAATCCACTAAATAATTTTTGAAAACATATATAAATATATTTATATGATGTAAAATCCAAAAACACTAACTTTGATTTTTATATATATACATAAAACAACTAATATACATTAATCAGTACAAAAATATCTTTAGGCAGTGCTGCCAAACTCAACCATTTACTGACGTCCCACCCGACTGTAATTCATCTAGTACCTACAAAAACAGTAAAATAACGGAGTGAACACTAATTGTTCAATAAGTAAATCAAACTACACTATTTTTTTTTCTCTGTTACTCACATTCTAGCTTTCCTTTTCTCACTTCATTCTTTTCTATTATTCCTCATTCTTTTCTATTATTCTAATTTGCTACTTACCAACGAGTAAGAACAATTAATAAAAATGTACATCGTCGAGCACATAAGAAATTCTAGATAATGCAAGTAGCATAATACATATGCAAAATAATAAACTTTTTCTAAGAAATAAATTTTCTTTTCTATTCTGTTTTCTGTTTTCTGTCTCTTATTCTGTTTCTCTTTCTTTTCTTTATTATATTCTGGTTTGCCGATTGGACTAGGCTAAGGCACGGATTTGGAACCCTGGCTGTGTGAGTGTATTCTGAAATTCTTTCTAGGTATAATCCTCATTCACATGCACTTCTAACGAACTATACAAATTATGTTATTCTATTCTGAGGCCGCTCACTGATGGCGGCGTGCATGTAGGAATTTTCTGCATCTCTGTCACTCACGGGTTCCCCATCGCAACAGCCTTCTAACATAACATTCTATATTTCTGAAAAGGATTCTATACACATTTCTAAATAAATTTCCAAGCAATGGAAATTGGAAGTTCTACAATTGCATTCTTTAATAAATAGGGATATATACATATTTACATGTTAGCTTAAAAAGAATCTACAAGCCATTTTCTTTTCTTTCTTTCTCTCACTCTTTGCTAACATTTTTCCTTAATATTCTTACTTATCAAATCAAGTATGTACAAATAATATGCATAATATATGTATGGCCAAGCCCATTCTTTGATGTTCTTTCCAAGTTCAAATACACAAACTTGAGAATTCATTATGGCATATTGATATGTCATGACATAATTCTATCATTCTCTATTATCAACAATGTCATATCAAAGTAACAATTGAACATACAATTCCTTTCTAACACTTTCCCAAAGTCATAAGTTACACAATTTCTAATTTCAATAACTAAAAACAATGTGCTACTCAAGAAATAGTAAATGTTCAAGTAACTTGAACCATACACTAAGAGTCATCTATCTCATTGAACTAACATGGCCAAGTGATATTCTAAATTTTGACATAATAAAATGCACTATTGAATACTAAAATTTACACTTGGTTAAGCCTAACATAACCTTTCTACTCCAATTCTTTACTTTCTCTAACAATTTCTTCAATAGGATTTAACCAACTCATGCATGCATTTCTCTTTGGATTTTCATCAAACAATTCATATGCACATACAAATACTTAGTTGGCCATACTTCCACATTTCTCTGAATCCACCAAAATTGGAGCAAAAACTCACTAACTTTAACTTTAAATCTGGCCGGTTTCAACAATTTTTCAACACTTCAAAATTTCAACAATAATTCTTCCATAATTCCACCAAATCACCACACACTTATGCACTACTTCTCATGGCTGGAAATTTACACATCATTCAACATCAAAACAACCAATAATTCCCACCATACAATCACATACAAACAGACAAGAATCATTCTACACAATTATTGTTCAAATCAAAACTAAAGTTGGATTTACTTACCTTGAATTTGTACAACACTAGTGATATAACCTCCCTTTGCTAAAATTCTCTTCCTCTTGGACCTTTGGATGCTTTAGGATTGAAAATCTACAAAATTTAAGTCAAATCCTATGAATTCTCTTTGAAATTTGGTGAAGAAATTTGAGAGAAAAAATGGTGAGGGATGGTGTGTACAAGGGTTAGAAATGGTTAGGGTTTGGTCTAATGAAACCTTATAACTACTAATATATACATGTATTCCCATTTTGCCCTTGCACTTTTTAAGAAATCTCATCTATATCCTTTAGTCAATTACCAAAATACTCTCATTTCTATTATCTTCTTCACATTATTTTGCTTCCTTTCACTCCCCACTTTTTCATCTAATTATGAGTGAAAAGACCATTTTACCCCTAATGAAGTTTTAAAGAGTTTTCTTCACATTTGTCCAAGATAACTTCAAAGAAATTCAAGTAAGGGTATTGGGGCATAAATAAAATTACGTACCTTGATGTGGGTGCTATAGAGCCAAAGGAAAAAACTGATTTTAATTATTGAGAAGAGAAAGTGAATTATTTTTATTATTATTATTTTAGAAATAAAAAAATAAGAATGTTGAGAAGAGAACTCCTATAGAAAGCAACAACAACTCCAACAATATATCTGAAGAAACTTAATTGAAGCATTGAAGAAGTCATGAAGATAAAAGTTATGTGACACAAATCCATTTGCTACAATTAGAATTGACCACCACTTATAGACAAAAAAAAAACATTTGATGATAGCATCCTAAAGAAAGATGATAAAAGGAATGGTTCGACAGTGGGGCTACAATTATATAAATTAAGAATTAATATATCAAATTAAAGCTTTGTCTGTCTAGTTTCTAAAGATTCAAACCTCTCATCAATTAGATTTTTATTGAGCAAGTTATGGTCAATTTACTATTGACTGTTAAGTGAAAACCAAAATGTGTATGATGATAAAAGAAATGGTTTGGTAGTGGAGCTACAATTATCCTAATTAAGCATATAATATATCCAATTAAAGCCATGTTTGTCTAGTTTATAAAGATTCAAACCTCTCATTAATTGGATTTTTATTGAGAAAGTTATTGTCAATTTATTACTGATTATTCAGTGGAAACCAAAATATGTGTAATGATAAAAAAAAAATAGTTTGATAGGGGGCTATAGTTATCCAAATTAAGCGTATAAAATATCATATTAAAGTACTATATGTCTAGTTTCTAAAGATTCAAACCTCTCATCAATTAGATTTTTATTGAGCAAGTTATGGTCAATTTATTACTGATTGTTCAGTGGAGATCTAAATGTATGTGATGAAAAAAATGAATGGTTTACTACAGCTACATGATTTGACATCAAATATCAGGTGATATTTGTTAAATAAATGAAATTAGTTATATTCAATAACAACCTCTTTTCACGATATATGTATGTAATATAAAAATATTTCAACAAAAAGAGATAGAATAATTACAATTAAAACTATATATCAATATTTGTTTTCCTTTAAAGATAATAATAATGGTTCGGCATATTACAAATAGTCTACTAAAGCTACATGATTCGGCAACAAA